CTTTTGGATGTTTTCTTTTTGGATAGAAGCTCTGACCCACTATTTACACCCCTATCCCAAGCTCTCCCACATATTTTTAAATGACAGCTTTCCAGATGTTATCTCAATGGAGACTGGCCAGATTTATGGGCAGGATCTTGCTTAACTGCAAGCCAAGCTAGGGTTTTGGCCTCACTGGAAATGAGATTAGGTCTGAGATTTGCACCAGGGAAAAAACCTGCCGTCCCATGCCAGAAATGGTCATGGAGAATTTTTACAGTGCTGTTTGTTTTTTTGTTAGCACTACTGTATAATATCAGTCTATTTGAGCATTATCATAACAGCACTTAAGTAGGGTAATAGGATAGATGAGACATGGTTGGAATCCACAACAAAACTGCTTGTAAACGGAGATGGGCAACTAATTCACATCTAGACCAGCTCAACACAGTTTTCCAACTCCAGAAAGTGTTTGTACAACACAAGGTCAAGAAGGCGTTCTGCATGAGCTGTACAAGTGTTGTTTCCAAGTTTTAAGAGATGTTAAAAATTCAGGAAATTTTCAAGATTTATTGCATTAAATCCACAGCCTGATGTTGTATTTGTGCACTGCCCATCACACTCAATAAAAAGTGGTTCCAAAATGAAATTTGGAGGGTAAATAATATATTTTCCTTTCGCAGTGTACTTTACTTCTCCCACTTCCTTAACACAAAATAGACAGAAACAAAATATTTATGAGTTTTTGTCTACTTGAATAGATCACAGTTTTAATTTCCTCAGGTTTCATTGCAAATTATAGTTTCTTAAAATACTCACTTCCCAAGCAACAATGACTTTAAAACTGTCGGGAATGGGAGATATATTTACCCTTTTTCATCCTCTGAAAGTCTTGAATTAAAGACAGTAGCATGGATTTTTCTATATACAACTCATGTTTACAGCATAACCAATTCTATATGGCAGCAGGGTCTATATGAAAAACTGACCTTAGTAAATCCCCCTAACTTTTATGACTAATCTAAAATACACCATTATAACTCTTAGAGATATTATCTGGACAGCAACAAAGAACAAAATATTCAGAATGTCATAGACAAGTATGGTTAAGCACAGAAAAAAAAAAAATGTTAAAAGTAGGTGCTGTGAGATGACTTTTTGAGACAGACAGGTTACAGCTGAAGTTGCCATGATTGTATCACACCAGATATTGAAAGATGGATTGCCCTCTGTTTTAATGTCCTGGAGCGAGACAGATTTTTATGGTCTGCTTCCCTTTCTGAAACAGGCTTCAAAAATCTTCTTAAAATTGATAATAAAAGGCTTAATGCATTGAGAACAAGAAATACCATGGTTTCAAGTGACATATCATCATCTATACAACTCATGTTAAGATCTATACAGCATCCCACCGAGCAGCTATGCATTAAAATAAGACTTGGAGTAGACAACTTCTAGCAACAGAAATACGGTCATCTGAGAAGGAAACGCTTTCTTGTTTTTCACTTCCTATTGTTCCACATAGCACAACATTTTCTGCAATCTAAATGCAGTCTTGGAACAGTCACAGTGATCCAGGACAAGAAGAATATTTGTACCAAGCATGCTATACACATGCAATTCTGCCATTTCCATCATGATCCAATGGAAATGTAAAACTGAAGAGTTGGTAAAAAATCCACTTTTTGCAGCAATGACAACTGCCTTCTGTTTCTACATGAAAGAAGGATCTGATCCCTAATTGCTCCAGTAATATATTTTTAAGTAAGAAATGCTTTCATAAAAGAGATAACTGTTTATAATTAAGAGAATAATTTTTTCAATTTAAAATCATTTTACCCAAAGAAGCAAACTAAAGAAAAACATTAAACTGTAAGAAGCCAGCCAAATCACCAAAAAATGGAATGGAATTTTTTCCTTTACAGTGAAAACTACAGAAAAAAAGGTTTAACATGTTTTAATCAAGCTTGAAGTTTTAAGTGAATGTTTCTAAACATCTCCCCTTAAACATTCTCCCCTGCCTGAGGCAACTAGACTCCATGATCAGAGCATGATTCTCATCATGTCCTTGAACACAGGATCCACAGGTGGGATCTTCTCCCAGGCAATACTTCTGGTGCCCTGCAGGAGATGCAGTCAGCCACAATGCTGCACCAAGGGAACAGAGTGAAGAACTTCCAAATGACAGTTTTGAAGTTTCAAGCCAACATTTCTCACCACTCCCAAACACAATGAGGAATATAAACAGCCTTATGGACTTTATAGGCAGAAGGGCTATAGCCAGTGACAGGCAAACAAACATGAAGAAGCACCAGCTGTCCTTTCCTAAATGCAACTGCTATGTCCACACCCAGCAGAGAGGCACAAGGCTACACTATCCAAAGTTCCCACTCAAAAACTAGCCTGCTATCACATGCCAGACTAGAGAAAAAAAAATAAAAATAAAGACACTGTATGTATTTCACAGGGTTTTACTTCAGGCTAGATCTGATCCTACCAATTGTATTTCCAGTAAAAACTCCAGCACATCTTTTAGTTTCGATTCATCTTGAAGGAATCCAGCTGGCCCACCGTGAGGTATATGGAGAAGGACAGCAAGTGGAACAACTGAAGGATGGGCATCAAAAGCCCACTCCTGACATGAACCACACTGTAAATGCACAACCACACCCAAGAGCATCTGCCAGCGGAGGGAAGGACCTCTTTGTGCTACTCTTTAAGATACTCTTCAGATGTCAGTAAATCTGCACGGTCGCTTCAACCACTCGATTCTTACTCAGTAACTTGGAACTGCTCATTGAAACAATTCTAGCTCTAGATCAGAAACTGGAAAATACCACTGTACCAATCCCAAACTGGAATTTACCGGTTTCTGATGATTGGGTTAGAATTACTATGTTGTTTTAGTAATAGTGTTAGAATTGAACCAGTTACCAGATTTATTAAACAAAACCCAAACAGGACTCTTTATTATAAAAGATGATCTGTATCTCTGGGATTTGTACTTTAATAAACATTGACAAATGGTGACTGAAACCAAGCATTTCCATTTTATTGGTGCAGTTCCATGGGTACTTCAAATACTAATTTTTACCCTCGCCTGATACTATGAAAAGAAACAAAAATCTCCACAGTTAAATTCTTCAACTTTTCATACGTTTGTTCTATTCCACATTGAACGTCATGCACAGTCTATTTGAAAGATAAAAAACAAAAAGAATTTATTTCAGCTAAACAAATCAGCTCAAAATCTTGTGTTAGCAGCATTTATTTTTGTGGCACTCTTGTGGAGGTCTTACTAGTGTTTTTCACTGACACATCTTTCACTTACTTATCATACTGCAATGGAAGACTGAGCAAAACTTGCTGCTACGAGACACACCTCCTCCCTACACACAAGAGCTCTGCCTGAACAGTGGGCTGCAAGAGACATAAGAAGGCAAAACCCTCCTTGCTAGGTTTCTCGCTCATTCTACAACAGCGATTCTGCAGACCAGTCTTCTCTTTTCAGCCGCACAATGATCACAAATGTTTAGAACTTGGGACTTCACTTGGATGATTGCAGCTCATGAGGACCATACAACAAAAGTGAGAGAGAGACCACTTGCTCAGAGCTTGAACACTGACACAGCACCTTCGTGTCCTGGCTCTCTATGTAGGCACGCTGCCGTTCCACACAGTTACTTTCCTGAGGCGATTTTTTAAAACCTTAAGGTATTGCTCTTCTTAAATTTTTGCAAGTAATGAAGAAAGACCAGCCTGAGAAGCAGGAACCAAGTTTTGCAAGAGAAGCATCTGCATTAAAATACATCAAGCATTAAAGCAAATACTTCAGGCTGTGCGTACTTCTTTAAGTTCAAGAAGCAATCTAATCCCCTAAGGAAACACAGCATCTGTATTGTATTGGCACGGGTGGGAACACAAGATTCTGAAGTGATTGCTGATTTCACCCTGGTTTAGCAAGAAATAGCCTTGAAGCAGCCTGATAACCAACTTCCTAATTGGGGCTCGGAGCTGACATTGCTTGGTCTTGCACCTGCTGCTTCATGATTGTTGAGAGGGCTGTGGGATTCATAAACAGGGTTTTTTTCTCAGAGAATCTCTATTGTTGGTTCTATCAAAGTTCACCTGACTCTACACATTGGGATTTCATTCTGTTTATTTCTCCAATTCAAGGGAAAAAAAAAAATACATTAAAAAAAAGGTTAAAAGGTTTAACTTATTATGAGCTGTTAATTTTGTCCTCAAAAATCCACCAAAAGTTATATAACCACTTTCACAATAGCATGCTAAAAATAAGAGCTGTTCAGCCAAATGCCACCGCAATTTTTTGTAAGACCTGTGCCTCCAATTCTGCAAGACCTGTGGAAGCACAAATATTTCCTTAACTTTAGCAGAAAGTCAATCACGAGCTCCTTGTGAGACAGACGTGGGTTTGTATAATCCTCAAGTTCAAGGTAAAAAAAAAAAACCCAGTGTCTGTACACACACACGTATATTTCCAAGTCATGACTTAAAGTAATGCTATTCGCTCTTGGAGCTGATCCCTCGTGGGGTTTCATAATCACAAACCATCATTAACCCAAAGCAAAGAAAGAAAGGTACAAAGGGGCACAGGTTTCACGCACGAGCTAATTTTTTTTCTGGTTTGTCTTTCTTTTTTTTCCTTTGGGAGGGAGCGTGGTGACGGGACGCAGGGCGCTCCGGGCGGGGGGGAACCTGGCCATGCAGGTACCTTCCCGGGCCGCTCGGAGCCAGGCTGCGGAGCCCGGCTCCGCTCTCGCCCATTTCGTTCCGTGCCCCGCAAGCGCCCGCGGGCGGCAGGGCTGGGGCGGCCGCGGCCCCGCCGAGCTCCCCGGGCTGTCACCGCCACCGCGGGCCCCGCCGCCTGTCCCCGGAGGGGCGTCAGAGGGCAGGGGAGGAGAAGGAGAAGGAGGAGAAGGAGGAGGAGGAGGAGGAAGAAGGGAGCGAGCCGGCCGCAAGAGGAGCGGCGCCGGGTCAGGTCGCTGGCCGCCCCATACCTGCACGGAGGCGGGGAAGGCTCCGCAGCGCGCTCCGTCCGCCGGCTATAGATCCCAAGGGGCGATGAAGCGGGGTGGCGGTCGCCGCCCTCTGCCGCTGCTGCCGGTGGCGGTGGTGCGAAGCCCTCGCCGGCTGCAGATGCCCATAGGCGCTCGGTGGGGCCGGAGGTGCGCGGAGAGAGCGAGGCGGCCGTGCCGGTCCCGAGGGCTGCGGGGAGCGCGGCACTGGCTCGGCGCAGCCACTGCCCGAGGAGAGGATCAAGGCCCCGCTTTCGATTGGCTCCGGTGGCCAAACAGCTCACACCGGCCTGCCCGCCCGCCGCCTCCCGCCCGCCTCCCCTCCGCCGCCCCACGCGCCCCGCTCCCGGCCGCTTCCCAACCTGGCGGGCACGGCCGGCTCCGCTCTCTCCTCCTCACACCCTCCCGCTCCCCGCCTTCGCCCCCCCTTCTCCAACCCCGTCCCTAAGACGACGTCCAATCGACGGTCCAAAACACCCTCCTTCCCTTCGCATCTTCCTCCGTGAGCTGAAGGACCCGCAACTTTAAGCATTCGTGACATTCTGTGTCATGCTCAATATTCGGACGCGTTTGTTCTCTGAACGTTTAAAAAAAAATATCCCTAGCTGGTAAAATTAAAAGCATGCAGCGCTTGATCACCTGAGGGCTAAATCTGAGGTAGGACAAAGCATTCTTTGCCTGAGCTGAGTTTGCTTTTCTTACGCCGTTTGGGCTCCTAGCCCCAGCTGGGTTAACGACGCGTCAAATCTCGGCGTGCACAGAAAATAGAATCAGGATGCCTCCTCGTCCTGGATCTCAGGTTATTCACCCTCAGCGGCTGTGGTTGTCGTTCCTTGGTGCACCTTTGGTGCTGGTATTCCTTTCGCTCAGGATGACTTAAATGACCTGTGGAAAAGCCTTTTCCCTCCCACAGACGTGCTGTAATCTTAAAGCAAATCTTAGACCGGTCTTCTGGGCAAAATGGCAAGCCTTTGGTTTGACCCTCTGTTTAAACAGTATACAGTAGAACCAGATAAATAGGTTCTGTGGGTTTTCTCAGTGCAGGAAGATGTTGTAATATTTCCAGTAAGTATGCTGGCAAAAATGCTTATTAAAATTAGGGAGAACAAAATGGTGAGTTATAACAGATGCACTCTTAATTAATGCAATGACCTGCATTTAACTGATGCTATTGAACTAAGCAGCATCTATGCCTGTTGGCACATCAGATGCAATTAAAAGTCAGTACTTATCCAAATCTGGCAGATTGAAGCATTTGAAACAGAGAATGGAGTTGCAGAGATACCTTTGCGTGACACCAGTATGTTCATTTTTAATGGCGATGTCCATAACGTTTTTAATTGATTCTGTAGCTAATTAATTTTTTTCCTACAAAATGGTATGTTATTTTTCATTCCCTATAAAGCATGCATACTTTTGTCTCTTTGGGGCATACAGAACTAGTTAAGAATGGTTTTGTTTATCTTTTGTGCGGGCAAAAGTCAGAAAAATAAAAATAGAAATATTGAGAAATATATAAACCCAGACATATTTAGAAATATCCATACTTGGAGTATAATGCATCCCTCATTTTAAAAGCTTTATTAGCAAAAATATCCCTCAGTGAATTCAATGAAGCTACACCTCTAGAACTTTACTTACCCCCCCGCCCAAGAATAACTAAAAGGTCCTATTTCTTTTTTATTATATGTTTTTTCTTCACATGTTGCCAATTAATTTTTCCTTGGAGAAATGAAATTGCTGGTTTGGATACCAAGCTATATTTCCAGCCATGTCCCAAGAGACACAGCAGCCACTGCACCTCCATCGTCCCCCCAACACCTCTGTCACAGGCATTCCTCTCCCTGCATGCTCCTGATCCAAATGACTAGCTCACACACACATGTATATATATACGTATAGATATATATATAGATATATATATACACTGTCTCAGTATTTCTGAAGTCAGGAAGTGTTGCCTGTCCTCTCTCTGACTTCTTTCTGGGAAGAATGCAGACTCCATTCTCAAGGCCTCTTTTCACCCTCCTGTTTTTCTCGCTCAACAGACGGGTATTTGTGTCAGAGGAAGGGGTACGACCCTCCAGCTGAGCATTGGCTGAAACAAACAACATAGTAGGCTGTTCCCTTAGGTTTCTTCTAGCTACTAATTTTCAATCATGTTGTCTTATAATTTTAATGCAAATTTTATATCCTGCTATGTGTTATTTGGGGGAAAGAGCTCCAAAATCATTACAGAAGTTTTTCTGTAATATATTTGTCATACTTCTCCTTATGGACCAAAAACTTTCTTTGGTATAGATGACTTGGGACTTAATAAGATTTTGTACTTTCAGAGTTGCTACTTCCCTTTAGCTATTTTCAGCATTGTGTTTGTTTCCTTCTGTGTTTGGATTCTTTTACAGAGCTGATAAGTTTCCCTCTAGTCTTGTTCAATTTGATAGCTTTTAACCTGTCTGTTTTATTTATGTCTGCTTAAGTGCTTATTTAATCTTTTCCCTTATAACTATAATGACCTTCCACAGGTTACTATAATCCTAGAAGGTATGTGGAGAATTTAAAGATTTAAAAGTCGTTTGACTTCATAAATAATTTTTATTTTCTCATTATGGGCTTTATTTTTAAACCAAAAATGTTTCATTTTCTGTTTGATCAATGATTGTTTTTTCCACGTGTTTCTTTCACATATATAGTAGTAAGCAAACTGAGACATTTTGGATTCTAAGCAACTTTTTTCTTTTTCTTTTTTTTTTTTTTAACAGTTTGGTTGGAGAACTGCAAAGGGTCTTGATCTGACATGGAAAATACACAGCATATTTATTCTTTGTTGTGGTCTACAACTAGAATTTTATGCCACTAAAAATAGTTATGTGGGTTTTTTTTTTTAATTCTAAAACTGAAAGAGTTGTATTCTGCAGATAGCATTTATCCAGCAATATCCCTGTAAAGCACATTTGTATAGATATTGCTGCATCTTTCCTCTACTGTGAGTGCCTGACTTTTATTGTATGCTGTAGTTAAACTAACAGACTAACCTTTTAATGTCCCCTGGCAACTACAGAACCATTAATTCAGCAAGATGTTGAAGCCTATACCTACTTTTAATCTACAGATTTAATACTACATTCTTACTTCTGATGTGGCCACACTTCAGGAATGACTGTAATCCATGTCTTTTGTCTCACACTGAGACAAAACACAAACAACTGGTGCCCATCTCCTTCACAGCAAGGACCATATCTTTGTCATCGTCACTACAGAAACTGTTCTGCTTTGCAGCCCTGAGCACAGAGCTTGTGTTGATCTGTGAGCACATCTGGCAGGAGTGCCTGCAGAGCACGAAGGGCTGTAGCACATCCACAGAGCCAAAGGAGGCTTGAGACATGGTACTGTCAGTCACATACCTCCAGCTCATTCCTGCCCTGAGACACAATCCACAGTTACATAAATGAGAAAAGAAGAAACCTGGGAGATCTGGTGGTCCCTATTGGTGATTATATGAATTATTCCTGGTTTTAATGAATCATTCCTAGTTTTAAATTGACATATCTGCACTGAATGAACAGACTGATCATTTGTGTCAGGTTGCACACTTATCCTCCTCTCTTAGGCCCTGAGTAAATGATCAAGCTCTGCAGCCAGGAGCTGGCTCAATACCCTCCTGGGAGATTGGTAGAGATTGGCTGAGATTCCTGACTGTCTAAGGGATGCTGTATGTTTCTGATTCAGGTACAGTCCCACAACTTATTTCACTGCCTTACAAATACCTCTTTGTTTCTTCTAGGTTCCTGCCTCTCAGCTAAACTGCGTTGTCTTGTTTAAGTCCTAGCTCACATTTATCCACAACTTTCAGCGCAAGCTCTTTGATTTCCTGACCTTGCTCTTGATTTGCTCTTTGGTTTGAGGTAGCCCTGATTTCTCAGTTTTCCTTGGTGCGTTTCCATCTGGAGCCTTGGGCTGGCATGTCCTTGGTGTCTGACTCCTGATCTTGAGTTTCTTCAGTTTCAGTGGCTGGACCCGCCCCAGCTACACTCACTCAGCACAAGTATTCCACTTGTGGCTCCTTAATAACTTCCGTTCCAAGGCACCTTTCTGAATGGGAATTACAAAGCACGATATCCCACTGTTGACGCAGAACATTTGGCACACAGCTTATCTGCGCGATAATTCCGCCGCCGGTGGGCTGGGTCGTGTGGGCAAGGTTGGGTCCTGGCTTAGGAGAAGATGCAAGAATGCAGGAGAATGTGGCGTCCCTGTAAGATAAATCACACTTGTCAAGATCTTCAATGGCTCGTACTGTTTTCACAGACAATTAGGCACCTAAATGCCTTTGGACATAGTGCACCTGTCTTGTAGTTTGGAGTTCTTTCTAACATTGTGGATTCAAGCCAGGAAAGCACTCTAAGCAGCGGTAATTTTGATCCTGTTTTTTTCAGTACTTTATCTTTGCTATGTGAAAAACAACTCTAAAATATGTCTCTACCTAGACAGGGCAACATCCCATCCCAGAACATGAGTAAATACTTCATACAACCCCTGATAAAGAACTTCATTAACATGGATAAATGTATTCCTGGCAAAAATGCCATCTGTGTACTTCACAGTCATCATGAATGAAACAGTATTGCCGGGTTCTGACTTCAAATATAAATTACTCTCTACGCACACCTTTGAAGGAAAAGAAAGTGCTATCACCTTCCTTTAGCTTCTTTCACTTCATTCCCATCAAAATCTTATTTGAGATATCCAGATGCCCTGAGCCCATCTGTGTGCTCCAGGAGCTCAGGCTTTAGGCAGTAGAAAGTTGTTTCTCCTTTGTTCTCTGGGAGGAAATAATTGCTCCTCACACGTCTACCTTTGAAAAGTCTCCAGAAGGCTCACAACTTCAGTTTACCAGATTAAATAAGATTAGTCTATGCAAGGCCTGAAGTAAATTTCTCCTTGACTGGAATTTTTGTCTACCCTGGGGATGATTCCAACCTTGACTGATGAAGACTTAATATAAAATTATGCCATATTCTTTTTCAAGAGATCATAATAGGAAAAGGGATAACTAGTGAAGAATAGGGGCAAAAAAAAAGCAGAGGGAGAGAAGGTTATGAGATGCTAATGCCCTTTTAAGACAGAATGGGTCTGTAAATATTCACTTGTCCTCTCTCAGAGTATGGTAGTCAAAAGTG